TTTTTAACACTGTCCATACAACAAGGTTTCAATTTTCTACGTCAAGATATGAAAAATAAGTTAGAATTATTAGTACTAGAATTTCTGAAGTGGCTAATACTAGTCACTTTAGCAATTCTAAATTTAGATTAACCACTAGATTTTTTTACTTCTAAGCTAAGATAAAAGTCAATGCAATAGAAACTAATATATAAAATTATTGTAAATAAAAAAGGTTTTACATACAAATCTTTAAGAAGTAAGCCCACGTAAGGACTCAACAATGACTCCAAGTTCCCTAGGTTCCCACCCAAGTCTTAGTGTCTTATTTAATAGGAAGATATTAACATTTGCAATGTTTTAGTCTTTTAAAATACAGGTAACCCCCGTATAACACGGCACTTCTATAGCACGGATTCACTCTAACACGGTTCGAGAATTGGCACCATCCCCCATATAACACGGTACTTTTATAGCACGGATTTACTCTGACACGGTTCGAGAATTGGGTAAAACTCTTCTACAACAGGAAATGTAATAAATTTTTACATACTTAAGTAATAATAGTTCACGAAAATAATTATTTTCGTGAACTATTAGTACTTAAGTATGTAAATTTTCTCTTCTCGCCTTCTGTCGATACACGTGGNAACATCAATCCCATGTATCATATCTTTAAGCATACCCAAAGCAAGTAGTTCCTCATAACAATAAAAATCCTCAGTTATAGCACAATGAAAATATAACACTTAAACTGAATCAATGTCATCAGTGGTTTCATCTAAAGCTATTGAAAAATATATGTTTTACATTTAATACTCTAACAGCAGCTTTAGTTGCTATTTTCAAATTTTCAACATTTTATTTAGAAAAGTGAAGTTTTATATTTTGTTTATGACTTCCTGACATCACCACTAATACAAAAGAAAACAACACTGGCACTTTGGAATGATAATAAAGTGTGTCAACACAAATATGAAAATAACAAATGTTTTCATTATTGGATCGTTTTATATATTCAATAGGACAGGTACTACAGTAGAATCCTCTTATTGTAATCACAAAAATATCATCAGTTGTTTAATGTTATCAGAATTAGCATGTCCTAAAATGTATATATTAAATCACAAGCATAAAATTTTGCTTACTATAATCAAAGATTCAATTATAGTTATCATTATCTTCAGGTATACAGGCATTTTTAAGCAGTTAATAATAATCATTATGATAAAAAAAATATATAACTTGAAAGTTTATTAAACTGTTTTAACATTTGCTTTTAATGTTAATATACAGAATAAGCATAATTAAAGAGTAAACATTCAGAGCTCTCTGTAGAAAAAATTATCAGGCAAATCTCAACCAAATTTGGTATAAATACTGCTGAGTATGCAATTTCAATTTTCAGGAAAAAAATATTTCAAAATTCAGCCACTAGAGCAAAATTTGACATTACTATCCCCTTAATGTCTATATTACATACATTTTCTAACAAGTTTTGAAACTTATGAAACAAAATGCAATAATTTTATTACATCAAAGATATGGCTTTATGTGCCCTCTATATCCAGGTTCCAACAACTGCATTTGCTGCACCACACAATTCAATGGAGAAACAACTGATCTGGTGATTATGACATTCACGACATTGGAAATGATTAGATAATCATTTGTGGAAAAACTGTTGTTGCAGTAAGGCATGTACATTTAGGCTAATATGCAGATGTATATAAAAGCAAACTGAACACCATAACTGTTCACCTGTTAAAGAATTGTGAAGAACATTTTGTGACTCCTTTTATATCTAAAATTCATTAGAAAATGTACATAATATGCACATTAGAGAGAGACAGCCAAATTTAGTTGAGATTTGCCAACAATTCTTTCTACATAGAATTTTAAATATGTACTCTTTAATTACAATCATCTTGTATAAAACCTATAAAACCAGATTTATATTAATTGTAAACTTATTTACTTACACCATTTAATGTTATCAAATGGTTAATATCAATACAGGTTAATCTTGAAGTGATTATGATAAGTAGATTGTACTGTATATTACATTACTAAGCTTATTAGAATATTTTTATTTATTGTAATCTACTGTTTTTGTTTNATAAGGATAACTTGCCAAAAAGAAAACGCTCTCGGTTAATTAATAGTGTTTTTAGTGATGATGAAGAAAACATTGTTTAATTTATATTAATATGTATTACTTTAAAAAAATTTAATGAAGATATTTATCTTAATTATGAAAATATACTAGCATGTTTTTTAATTTTTGGAACCTAGCCCTCCTTTTTGTATTAGTTCTTTGTTTCGCATAACATGGCAATTTTTTGGAATGTAACTACCGTGTTATACGGAGGTTACCTGTATTTATTTATATACTGGAAACCAAAAGTAACACCATAAAATATTAACTGGGTTTATTTTTTTTTAATATAAAGCAAACATACATGATGTTTGTTAAACAAAAATTAAATTAGAAAATTTAACTTTAAAAAACCACAACTGCATGTATTTATGCATATATATATAATAATTATTTATTGTTTCAAGAATGAAATGAATATAACGTGCTATCATATACATATAAATACATACAGATTCTCAAATTGTGTATGCTTAAAATATGTGATTTTAAAGTAATGCAATGGAAAAGTCAGAACATATTGTTCAAAATACATCATGATTCAAAAAATTAAGTATGTAGTACAGTTATGTTCTTAAGTGTCTTTAGTTATATTTACATATGATAAATCATTTGGGCAATATTGTCTATTTAAAAATTTATTGCAATGATCACCTTTAAACATAGTTAATTCAACTAGTCTCTTGATGTACTTGCTTGTAGTAATCCATGAAGTCACTGAAGAGGTGACACAAAATTTTCATTTGTAATTAACAGTGAGCTTTCCATTTATAAACTAAAACTTTTAAACATAGACCTTCTAAACTAAAGCTAAATTAAGTCTAATGATTGTCCTTTACATTTCTTTGAATCAGATCTTCATTTCTAATTTTTCAATTCTTTTTCCTTCCCAATTTTAACCTCACTTTCTTATGTTCTTATGTCTTCTTATGTTTTAGAGGGAACCTTTAAAGAATCATTCCCATTTTGAAAAAAGCCTTTTGTTATTTGTTTTTAACTTTATCTTATCTAAACTGTTTCAATTTTATTCATGTTAAATTATATATATTGAAACTATTAGTATAGTATGTCTGTCATTCATGTTTATAGTGTGTTAGCAAAATAAATTAACTTGTGTAAAATACAACTATAGCATTTACCATGTTTAAAAATTGGAAAAATTTTGTTCTAATTGTGTAAAATTTAAAATGTACATGATTTACTTAGAACAAACCCTTGTGTACATATTAACCCAGAAATTTCAATAAGGAAAAAAAACACTTGTGTAATTTGAGAACTTCCTGTATGTATCATGTAAAAAGCAGAACCAGATGCTATTTTTCAGAGTTTTTGTAAGCAAAATCTCCAAAATTTATGTTTATAATAAATGATTCCTAAATAGAATATGATTTATAATGATTTGTTATAAACAAGTATATATATATATATAATGTTATGGACAAAGTGATTAATACGGGCATTATGAATAATGACCAACAAAATCAGGCATAGTAATAAATTTCAATAATTTATCAAATTGACTAGTCATTATGAATACTACTATCACCTAGTTGGGCAAAGTGATAATTTGCCCAACTAGGTGATAGTACTTTGAGGAGTTATCATCCAACATACGCTAGCCAATCAGTACTCACATCTGAGTTGTGCATGCATATGACATTTAGTACAGAACCTGGTGGCAGTTGCGACTGTTTGTACTCCCAACAGACTCTTCCCAGAGGGGAGCCGCCAGCAGATTGTTTAATGTCACTAGTTATTGATTCATGGTAGTTGTTGAACACACGTATCAATAACTAGTGATGTTAACAATCGGTGGCCTGCCAGCGGCTCTCCTCTGGGAGGAATCTGTTGAGAGCACAAACAGTCACGGCTGCTGCTATGACTGTGCACATAATTAAACAGTAAAATTTTACCTAATATAGTTAATAGTACTTAGTTTTAAAAGATCACATATTCTTTTTAAAATACTTTGAAATAATTCACAAAAAATATTTCTAAATGAAATAAGTGGAGTTTTTAAATCAAATTAAAATGTTGCACAAGATTAACTATTGGTTGCATAAATTTAAAATTCGGTACTAAACACGATACACACACACAACTCAGAGTGCCGATTGGCTAGTGTATGTCAGATAATCACTCCTCAACATAGTATCATCACTTTGCCCGACTAGGAGACAGCAGTATTCATAATGCTCAGTCAATTTGATAAATTAATCAATATTTATCACACTGCGTGCCCTTTTTGGTCATTATGAATAATGCCCGATTAACCACTTTGTCCATAACATATATATTAATAGTAAACATTTATATCAAGTAGAGAATGAATATTGCAGAATATGCTTTCATAAAATTTATAGCAAAAAGAAATATTACAATAAACTTCAAAAAAATTGTTAATAAAATGTAAATAATAAATTTGTACTTTATATATTCTAAACTTATAAATTCAAAAATACATTTTATTACTTGTAATACTTTAAAATCTACATTCAACTCACAATCATTGAATATTTTAAAAATAATTATTTATTGTTTCAAAGATAAAAGGAATATAACTTGCTTTCAATTTTAAAAGACTTTTTATATTTTGCAAGAATTTAGTAAAACATTAAAATTTATTTATAAATGTAGCAAAAGTTTTTGATATTTTAATATAAATAACAATCAAAATATATTAAAATTTTTACTGAAATCTTGTCTGTTATTTCTTTTTGCTATACGTCTTCAAAACTTTTAATCACTTATTATATGTAAATGGTTACATATAAAAATATTACATCTCATAAAATGCAACAATAAAATTAAATTATTTAAACAAACTCTTTTGTTTGTTCTATTGAACAATTTAACAATGTACCTGGAACAACAGGCTGAACAGGCGGTGGAACAGATGAAACAACAGATGGAACACTAGATGGAGCAGGAGAAACTACAGATGATGTAGACAAAACCACAGAAGAATTAGTTGGTGAAATAATTTGTTGAAATTTTGGCATAAAATTAATCAACTTCTTCTGTGTATATATTGGAACTATAAACTTTTCAAGACAGACTTTAATCCAACAGGCTTTACAAAACTGTGAAGAAGACAAGCCCTTTTCTACACTGTAAACAGGACTAAAATCACAGCAACCTACGAAAATGTTTAAATTATTAATAAGAAAAATAATTTATAAATTCTAATCTACAAAGAGTTAAGTTACCTGCTGAAGTACAATAGAATTGTTCTGGCTTTCTAAGAAACCAAGTGAAAAATTTGCTACAAGCATCACAGCAAAATTGTCCATATCGTCTTTTCATGTGTACATAAAATTTTATTTGTTTACATACTGCACATATCACAGTACCTAACAGAAAAAACAAATTTATAATTTTTATAATTGTTTATCAAAGCTCATATCTCCATCATAAACATATACATTTCAACTTTTTAAATTTCTACTACTTTTAAATTTCAAAACATTGCCAAAATGTTTGATTTAACATCAACTGCATTGAACTTCCATATGATTTTAGAAAACAATAATTTCAGATTTTAAAAGAGAACTAATCCAAAATAAAAGTTTAATCTACTTATTGTAATCATGAATATTGTCATGAAATCATAAGAAATCCTTGACCCTCAACCCCCCAAAATACTTTATATAATTTATGGACAGCCCCTTATTACAAATTTGGTTTTGTTAATGATTGTAATTAAAAGGATGTGTTAAAATAACAAAGTAATGTGTAACTTGAAAATTCATTTATTATTATATAATAGTAATTCATCCAGCATTATTTTCCTACATTTTTTTCAATAGCATCTCTAACAATAGCTAAGTTATATATAACTGAATTAAAAGCAATTTAAACTACTGTAAGTAATGTTTAATATTTAAAGCATTAGTTAAGATTAATAACAATCATCATTATCAGTTACATGTTGAGTATAATAGAAGAAGAAGAAAGAAAAAGCCTATTTATTTGATGATGATGATGATGATGATAATAACTATAGAGAACTTATAAGAACGTCATTTTGTGACTCATCATTACTCTGTCTCCTGCACCGTATTTGTGCAGTGCTATTTGTGAAGGTGTGTATAGTTTAGCTTAAGTCTGAATGTTTATCATATGTAGAAGATGGCAAAACTTGCATTTTACTTTTATAGCTATGTTATGTATAACAGAAGAAAACTATGGAAACATTTTTACACTTTTGGACTCAGGGAACCTTAAAACATTGAGAAATACACAAAAAAAAAAAAATTTCAATGTTTTTTTTGTGTGTGTGTGTAATGGTCACGATTTTGTTCACCCAATTTGAATCTTAATAATTCCCATGATTTCTGTTGAAAATTTCTGAAATTTTGCAGGAAATTTTGTATATTGGGAGATCAATGCTATTCAGTTTTGGTAGTTAAAGGTTGAGGGGATAGTGGATCATATCTCAATTAGGGTCAGATTTAATGAAGATTTTATTCATTATAAACATTTACAATTTTAAAAACATAACCAAATGATTGCCTTAAATAATCAGGCTAATGATTAGTACTAAGTAATTTGCTACTAGAGGGAGATGTTAGGTGCCATCTCTTAACTAAATTAATAATTATAATTTTAATAATTTATTAAATAATTTAGAATTATCTGGAAGAAAAGAACTGACCCAGGGCAGAACTTGAACCTGCAACCTCCACTTGCTGTGCAGAGGTTGTGGTCAACTTATTTAATAAATTATTAAAATTATAATTATTAATTTAGTTAAGAGATAGCACCTAACATCTACCTCTAGCAGCAAATTATTTAGTATTAATCATTAAATTAGCAGTGTTATAGCCCTATTATTTAAGCAATCATTTGGTTATGTTTCTATATACATATCGGGCTTTGCAATGTTTGATATATTTACAATTTTTTATAAAATTCATCTCTACCCTCAAAATTAAGCCTTTAGCCATTTTATAACTAAACGTATAAAACATTTTTTATACCAAAATCTCATAAATAATGGCATCACACACAAAAAAATAATATAAAGTTTATGGGAGAGAAATCACACCTAACTGGTGTGATTTCTCTCTCTCCCATATAACATTCCCATCATAAAGTGAAAATTGTTTCTGTCAATTACCAGAATATAAAATTTATTTTTTAATTAAGATTGCATAACAGCCAGAAAAGTTACACAACTCATTGCTGGAATTTTTTACCAGGTTATTTAACAACTCTTACTAGTCAAGACAATGACTGATACAAAAGTAAAATTGTAATGTATAGTGGAGTTGATCAGTATCAAGATGACTCAAATTCATTCTTAGAGAATCGTAGTTCATGACTGAAGATAAAATATGATGACACCTTGTCTTAATAACCTAATTTTTAACTCAACCTCACAAAAGCATACAAATCACTTTTTTCACCTCACAAACCTCACAAAAGCTCAATTTTGTAGCAAGTAGGTTGATCCAAAGACTTTGGTAACAAGTTCTGAAGAACTTGTTACCAAATATTCAATATTTGGTAACAAGTATTTGGTAACTTGTTTCAAAATATTCAATTTTTTTTATTCAATATTTTGGTAACAAATTCTGAAGAACTTGTTACCAAAATATTGAATAAAAAAAAATATCAAATAAAACTTGTTACCAAAATCTATGAAAGGTATGTTCTGAAAAACATACCTTTCATAGCAAGATAAATTTAAATACAGGTATCCCTCATATAACACGGTAATTACATTCAAAAAAGTGCCATGTTATGCAAATCTGTGATATACAAAACAAAAGACTAATGAAAACATAGGGTTATGTTCCAGAAGTTAGCAAAAGTATATTACTATTTATACGCTTGAGAACCCTTGTGTAACTCCAATATATGATCTAAGTATAAACAGACTAACATTTTCAATCCTTCCCTTTTTAGATCTTTCTCAGGTCCAGTTAGAGAGTTTGTGATATTTGAAGTATACTACTCTTTTTTGTTACTAAGAGATTTATGTTTATCAAAGTAATCAATAATTAATTAACAAATCACAATTAAAAGTACTGTATTACGCATTAATATTAATTTTAGGTAAACAAAGGTGTTTTATTTTTACAAAGTATCATTGTCATCTCAGCTTTTTTTTTTTTTTTTTTTTTTTTTTTTTTTTTTTTTTTTTTTTTTTTTTTTTTTTTTTTTTTTTTTTTTTTTNTACCAATTACATTTAAAAATTTTTTATCAAAAAATTTTTATGGATGATGAAATAAAAATGTTATTAATAGAAAATTTGTTCCAGTGGGTTGCATTTGTTCTGTCAAATACTGAACAACTTTTTCCCAGAATTTGTGTTTGAAAAGCAAATTGTTCACGTACCAAAATACCATTGTATTTTGTTTGACATTTTTACAAATGAAGTAATCATTCTTAGGTAAGAAATACAGTTAAAAAAGTTTTATAACACTTACCTGAAAATGTTTAAATAAACTTTACTAAATACAAAGATTAATCTATAAAAAGAAAAACACAGTGAAGTCTCAAGGGCTAAAGTCTAAAAGCAATGATGACATCTGGTTGACAGGAAAGTTAGTGAAATTTTTTCTTCTTTGTTCTATCAGGTTTCATTAAAGTAAATTTTAAAAAATTCAGTAAAGCAGACAATATATAAGTGTCTTTTTACATTGTCCCTTTGCATGCAATTTATCATCAAATTCATTAAAGTAAACCTCACAAACAGCACAAAATAATTTGAAACTTTCAATATTCTAAAATCTACAGGAAAATTTGAGAAATACATGCTTACTTGAATAAAAAAAATATCAAATAACAAAGTTTACACTTAAAACTGAAATTTTGTACAGAGGATGTCAGAGCAAAACTGGAAGCCATGTTATACAGGGGATATCCCCAATTAAATACATATACCAGGTAACGTGTCAGTCATCTGACTGCCATGTTGAGTAGGCCAGTGTAAATGTCCCCAGGAAGGCCTTGGGTAACTGTTAGATGGTTATATCAGTACATGGTAAGCGGAGGTTGTTGGTTCAACTCCTGCTCTGGGCTGATTTCATTTCTTCCAGACTATTCTAAATTTCTAAATTTAAAATTAAATTACAGTTTCTACTTTAGTTAAGAGCATTGCTTACAAGATAAGATAGGCTATCACATTCTGAACTTTTTGCTTCGAAAAAAGGGTCGTTTAGTATTGCTAAATTTTGTTGCTAGGTGGCATCTTAACACCCCTATTCAGAGAGATGGACGCATACCAGCTAAAACAGTAATCCATGGCTAAAATGCTGTCAAATCCATTAACATTTGAAATAACGATTACATATTTTGTTTATAAATGTTTTGTAAGTGTAAAAACTACCCAGTTGTTTTTATTGGCTTTAAAACTTTGTGTAAACTTTTTAATCACATTATATTTATTAACTCAAACTGTATCTAATGAATATACAGTACAGTAGAACCTCGATTATCCGCCCTAATTGGGAACTGGGGTTGGTCGGATAATTGAAAAGTCGGATAACCGAAAAGTATGAAAAAATCCATTATTAGTGTAGTATATTATTATATCCCATGTAACTAGTATATTAGCATATCGCTATTAACCTATTTTGTGTTGAATTTTCATCGATGTTAAGCCTAACAAAAATTTTTTAAAATAATAATCGTCGCTATTGTAGCGCCACATCACTAGCGGACATTTGAAATTTGCCGACTAAGATGGTCGGTTAACCGAGGGGTCGGTTGATCGGGGGGCGGATAATCAAGGTTCTACTGTATATATGATATAGTCTATATGTTTATCTTTTATGCAAAATCTATTTAGTAAAAGTCTATTAATAAAAATTATTTGTGCAAATAGCTCTTTCCATAAATATTTATAAAATTATTGTTTATTAGTAATTATTCTTTTTTTCATGAATTCTAAATCCTGAGATATGATTTCTTAAATTATTGATTTTTAATTAATGAGATAAATTTTTTTAGATTATTTCACTACTGAAGAAATTCATAGTTATTCTTATTTTTCTACAAATCATAAGCTTTTATGTGATATGATATGTAACTGAAACCAAGTATTACCTCATGTAATAAGATTTTTAAAATCAAATGTAAGACACTTGAAAATTTTTATAAAATTATAAAAATATATAAATATAAAACAAAAATATGATAAATACAGTTAAAGAAACGTACAAAGTTTGTTTTTTTGAAAGATTAGATGATAGGATCATATGCAATACTTCTTTCAAATTGTTAGGTTCTTAAAAGTGTATAGATCTCTAATCATAGATGCCGTTTAATATATAACAAAGAAACGGTTATAATGGTCGGACTGGACACCGGTCACATCTTGCTCATCTGACTGACCCGAACA